GAATGAAAGAAGCAGATTCCGATTATCGTTTATTTAGACATTAAATAACAAATCCCTCCGGGTGCGGCCCGCTGAGGTACCTTTGGATGTGTGTCTCCTACAGCCCTCTTCCACTGAGAAACTCTCCTTGCAGAAAAGAGGTTTCTCTGCTAGCTGGAGCTGAACGTGCACGGCGTTTAACCGTATCCCTCCCTGCGCAGCTTGAGAATGAGAAGGGGAGTTGGCAGAGCTGCCTGCTCGCACGTTTGCTTGCAGGGTCTTTTGTTATTTTTTTTCCAAATGAGCAATGCAGATCCCAGTGGGCTGTGTGGTGAATAAACGGAAACTTCTTCAGTTTCCCTCTGAATTACATCAAAGTCCCAGCTGACCTCAAACTGAATGCCAAATGGCTGCCTCATTTTGGCACTAAGTGAATGTCTGTCTTTGAAACTTTTCCTGCCTGAAATTTTTATTCCTGTTTCTCAGAGCAAATATATTTTATTGTATTAAGCTGAATAAAAGCGAGCTGCTTTTCACTGTTGCTCGGATGCTCCCTTTTCTCCGTGCCCCGTGCCTGCTCCTTGCCATTCCTGCGCAGGCGTCAGTGCCAGAGCTCGCAGCAGCTGTAACCCTTGAACAGAAACCTTCAAGTGCCAAGAAAGCACCACCACATTCCCGGGCTTCTTCTTCGGAAACTGCTGCGGAGAGGTGTGTGCGGCACTGCTTTTGATTGTCACTCTGGGCTGGGCATCCTTTAACGCAGTGACAGGGCGCGGGGCGTCCTTTCTGCAAGCCCCGGTCCAGATCTTAACTTCTGGGGGGCTCTGGCAGCCACTCTGTGCTGCTTGTCCGATACCTCCGCCGTGCCGACTGCTGGTAAGGGGTGGCTCTGGAAGTCTGTCTTCGTAGATAATATGGCCTAGTATGGTTTTGTGGTGGCCAAGGAGATACCCGTGTGTAATGGTCTGGATATGTGCAACAGATGGCTGCTGCTTCTTCTACGGGGCTGTAATTTCACAGCAGCGGTAGTTTATTGATCGAAGCAGGAAGGCTTCACTAACTTATTTTTAAATGTTAATTAAAATGTATATATATATATATACACGGGGGCATTACCTCTGCTCTGTACCTGGTCGCCTTCACGGGCTGGCTTGATTCTGTAGAATGGTGGATCTTCTGCTTTGGCTCGCTGGTTAACCTCCG